TTTGTGAACAATATTTGAGAGGAAATAGGTCTTTTGTGTACATAGAGAAAGTCTTAGATCTTTGAGTTCCGCTCATGATGAATGGGGGCAAAAACAAAAGTCTTGCGTTTATAATTGTGTTCAGTGTATATATATTATAATATTATTATATTTGACAATTTATATGACGACGATATAAGAATAGAAATTTGTCAGACATTTTCTCTCAGGGCACTTCCCTTTAATAGCTCTGTGCATCAGAGAGGAGAACAGATTTATTTATGTTTGACAGCAATAAAATGGTTGGCTGACTGGCAGAATCTGTTTGGCTTAACTGAAAGAGTAAATGCACAAACACGCAGTGAGAGAAAGAGAGAGAGAAGTGTCAATGAATTAAGCATAAAGATTCTTCCTTACTGAACTGAGGCTGAGCTTTGTGTTTTTGTGCCCAGTCTCCTGGCTTCAACATGTGAATCTTGAAACATGTGACGAAAGTGTCTTACCACAGTGAAATATAAGGGTATATGAGTGATTTGGCACTGTTGTTTTAGTGAAATCTATTACCAGAAAACAATTTACTCAATTTAATGAACCTACCTCAACTACTGTATTAAACAATGGCAAGCAATCAGTCATAGTTGCAGTAATCCAGAGTAGCAAAGTGCAGATCTCACCTTGAGTTTAATTACTGGTCCAGTTCCAAATGATGTCTGAGTGATATTTGTATTTATATAATTGTATTTATATTTTAGTCATTAGCAAGTGCAAGTTACAGATGATTTGTAAGTCATTCTATTAATAGGATACTTCAGCTGAATACTTGCCATTATAACACTCCTCTCACCCCAGTGTGACTGAAAGCAACATCGATGACAACCAGCACCGAAATCTTTAATAAGTGACCACACAATTTGTTAAGTAATGCGATGCTCCCTTGGCTGCTGAAACGTGTATGTTATTGTCTTGCTAAACCTTTCGTCAACATGCCACATTTAGCCTCTTGTTTTCCTCTGTGTCAGCACTCTGACGCTGAAGCCTAAGTGTTTGGTGTCCTAATGTCTGAAACACCTGACTGACTCTATTATAACTGTAACCTGAGTAGGTCAGACATGTGGATTTTCCGGCAACCCTTAAGTGCCACCTATCTTTCAAGTCTAAGTGTATCCACTAGGCATACACACTTTCTTATTGTTATACAACATGCCTGCTTCTTCCGATTTTCTTTACTCTCGTATCTACTGGGGAGATTTTTCGAGAATCTGATCTGACTCATATCACAAAATGTAACCAAGTTGTTAATCCGGTATAATGCTCCTGGTGGTTTTGTATAGGATGCATTGCATAATGATCACATTTTGTGACCAGTCAAAAGTATTCCTAAATTCAATTGAGCTTTAGTCAGATGGTGTCACTTTAAGAAACGCCCTTACATTTTAATCCATTTTCCTTCTACACATTTATAGCAATTTTACAAAATATGCAAAACTAGTTGTTGTTTTTGTGGCTCAGAAAACATTATATTGATTTTCAGTGTCAATATCTGTTTAAAAAAAAGACCAACGTTCTGTGCTGTGGTCATCGTAGGTCATCTATGTGCTTTAGTCTGATTTACCTACAATATAATACAATATAGACGTCATAACCTTGTACTACTATTTCTATCCATTCTTCTCCACATTTGGCACTCCATACAAAACTAAGGGCCAGTCAGTTCAAGGGTATTGTACATATAAAACAAGCCATATTTTATTAATGCAGTTCAGTACTCAAAACCTGACATACATCATCAGATGGAGAATCTAAATTGTTCAGATTTCAAAATTTAGAAGTTCTTTTATAGAACATTACGAACACTACTATCTGATGCAATCAAACACAATAGCAATGAAGGTTTAAATAAGGCCACAGTTTGAACATTGCAGTGGCTTGTGTTGAAAATGTGTCTGAAATCTGAAATTGTACAAAATAATCTTCACAAAAGTATTCAGATTTATTTCAGGACTGTTTACATTACGTTATATTGTGTGGTGTTATTTTGGCCACTGAAAATGCCTGTAAAGTCAGACATCAGTCCAGTCCTGTGTTCTCTGCACAAAATCTAGTTTAGTTCCACTAAATGTAACTTGCTGCACCAAACATTTTGTACCAACTCAGTATTGCTATACTTTTGCACTGTCTTCATATTTATTGTCTAATTAGACCCGCATGGCCTGCTGCTTGCACCTAAATGCTTTGTCAGTAATTATAGATGTGCTGATAAAACAATATTCTTAAAAATATATTTTGTTTCTTGCTTCCTATTTTGGTGGGTCAAATGATGTCATGTGGTTTTAGTCAGGTCTGTACCAGGCAGATACCTCAGCACAGAAGCAAAAAGGAAACAGAAGTTTAGCTTTTCAGTAAGCACACTACTGTACAGCGAACCATAATCAAGACGGATGCAACTAATGTTCATGCACATAGAAATATAACACAGGCTGGTGTGTGTTTGCTCTCAGTTCATATGTAAAATCTTAAAAAGAAAAAAAAAAGTTCCTTTAATAAGCATAAGCGTGATTATAAGCCTTAAGATTTCACAGAAGAAATATTTGAAATCCTGAACTGAGGGTTAAGCAGCCTGTTAGCCTGTTGTTAGATGGTGGAGAGAACTATGATGTCCATAGTTGGCGTCAAACTGAATCTCAGGTATTTGGGTCTGTTTCTAGTTTGTTGCTCAATGAAGATGTATGGGGTTACGTTTGTGCCAGAATTCATAATGTAAATTACTGTTGTTTACATCTTTGTTCACGCATTTGTACATAGTTTGTACATAGTTTTGACTTTGTAAATCACTTCTGTCTATGTACTCTATATTTAGCTAGACAAACAGCAACAGCATTACATCTGTCATTATCACTTTTTCACGGACGGTTACAATAAAAGGCCATTATTAATTTACCATAATCCATTAACACAGTGACATAAAACAGAATAAATTGTTTCATTTTATTAAAACGTGCCACTGGATTTACTATTTATATTTTATTATAATATAATTTTACTTCTGTTTGTACAATAATGTCACCTGAAGGTGGTTGAGGACAGTCAAATTAAAGTCACATTGGTGTGGCACTGCCTAATATAGATAGCTAATAAGTGGAATTGAGGCTCACCTTCTCAGTTCAAGTATAGCTCCATATATGGAACTGCATATTGTAATTTACCTGGATGACTACGAATCCTCCAAGGCGTATTTATTAATACAATTAAATGTGATAACTTAACCTCCATTAAGCCAGGGTATATTTCTTCAGAGACATTCTTCACTCAAAATTTGTCCCATTTGTCTTTGTGTGCCAAATTAAAGAATAAGGCTGGTAGATGTGCCCCAGTTTTAGGTAAATACATTAAAAAAATGAAACTATATATTTCTGACCCATTGTCATCAGTAGGAGCTTAAGTGCACCTGAAAGGGTAGAGAAGTTAAAGTATTGAAAGACGAACTTATTTGTTTTGGTCTTTTCATGGGATTTGTTGACAAAAGAAAGAATAACACCAGAAATTTCTCATGGCTAAATTACCTCATAGTTTGTTTTTATACTCTTTCTCTACAGTATAGTTTGTAGGAAGCCAGTCTAGGCCAAGTTGTAGTACAGTTGTATTTTGTGCTTTTATTTAAAGGAGAGGTGATAAACAAAGTCAAGATGATATACAATAACAAACTAATGTACAAATAGCGATGAAAAACAGCATTATGTGGAAAATTAAACCAAAATACATTGAGACATCTTTACCACTAATGACACCCCATACTTAGTCTACGTGTTTGTCAGTTTTCTCTGCCTTTAAATTTTTGGGGAGAATATTCTTTTCAGTGTAAAGATGTAATTAAACACACCAA